ACAGGGGACAGGAGCAGCACGGAAAAGGGCGGGAGGCGGGAGATAAAGGTACGGGAAGCGGGAGAGCAGGTTACGGGAGGCGCGAGGTTCTGACTCCGCGAAGAACTAGTAAAACTACTACTGACATCATGACTAGGGTGCACTCCCAAACAAGAAACATTCCGAATTTATTTGTAAAATGATTCTTGGAGTCCCTGAGGCCAGAATCACATGGTTGGAGATAGTAGCCCTGACTGGCAGCTCCATCATCGTCGTCCATCTGAAGCGCTAGGTATGGATTCTCCTGTAACATAGACAGACATACAGAGACATTAGGTCAAATTCCAAGGCATTTTCTTATCTTCAAGGAATCTTTCTTTCAGTCGGAGTGAAAAAATAAACGCCAAAAACAAAAGACGAGACTGGACTGGAAACAACAAGACGAAGAAATAAAATCAACATGGACGTGAACTGTGGTAAAAAACGTGCAACTGCACAAACAATGTTTAAGTTTTAGACTAATAATAATAATAATAATAATAATAATAATAATAATAATAATAATAATAATAATAAATATTACGTTCTTAAAAGAATGTTAGGAGCAAGACTTTTGGGTCAGTCGGACGACGTTAAACGGAGAGAAAAAGGGAAGATAGTCCTGTACCGTTGTCATGTTTCGCTCCAAGATCTTGCCCCGCCGTTCGTTCAGGGTCATAAAGTGTGGTCTCTGGTCCGGTTCATGAAACCAGCAGTCCCTCATAATAGTGTACAATTCCAACGGACACTTGGCTGGGTTCCCCATCCGCTTTTCTTCACTCAGGTAGTCAAACAGCTGCTCAGTGGGCAGGCCAGGGTAGGGGGTACCTCCAAGAGTAAATGTCAAAATCTACCCTAATTAAGATCAGATATCCGTAACGGTCTCGATTTCCTTTGTTTAAACTTGCAAATTCTCGCACAGAAATCTTCGCTTTTGTTGATTATTTTCGTCTCTTAAGATTTTGCACGTCTTCGCGTGACTAAATTTGAGCGCAAGCGCAAATCGAAGCTAATGAGTTAGTCGCTGCCCTCTTCTGGCACAGAAGGTGTTTGCCGCGGAATTACCGGCGAAATTTTAATCGCTGATATCTGACATGGCAGCCTCTTCAGACGCTCCTTTCCTTTGCTTCAAAGAGTGTTTTTCCATATTCTAGTACAACAAACAGACTTATAAATTACGCATTTAGTTGTTAATGTATAAATATCCGCACTCGGCTCGCCTCGCCGAATGGGCCTGTTCACTATTCCACTATCGTTTCTCCTTTTCTTTTCTCCATCTTTTTCATTTATCTGCTGATTTGGTTTTTTAACTGCTGAATGTTTCACGGCAGACATCGCTTTACCGATGTAAAATTTACAGTGAATATAAACATTGTACATTTCTTGGAAAGCGTTCCTGTAACCTTCTTTGTCACGAGACTCGCCAGGGAGTTCTAAGTTGCGCTTCATTGGTTGGCGGCATGACCCCGTTGACAACCGCTTCAGTGAGGTGAAAAAACTGTGAATTTCTTTCGAGGCCGAAAACTCGAGGTTTATTTTTGCACGAATTACCACTATTCAACTGAATTAACGGGGTATGTAGATTTATCGGATTTTTCCGAAACTTGGCCAGAACATTCCTCAGATATTAGCGCACCAAAATGTATGAGGTTTTTACGAAAGTCGAAATATCTTTCCTGTGACGTCCCACTGAGTAGCAGCAGTCCGAAAATTCTGTATTGTCCAGCTTCAAAAGGGATTTGCTAAGCAACCAACAGAAATATCGAAAAAGCCTCGCACGCTTTGTTAGCCCATCATCTCCCGAATGATATTGTCCAATCTGCTTTGATGTCCGCGGTAACACAACGGCTGGTAATTCAGTTTAGCAAGTGCGGTCATTTTCGCGTTTAAAGGCTTGCGCTTGCCTACCAAAACAAAACTAGCACAATATTTTGTTATTTTCGGAATCTACAGTTTATTAGCTTTACAATGATATATAGTTAACCGTGGTTTCCTTTAAAGCAGCGCGCAAAGAAAGTATTTTCCGGAAGGCACCTCGTAAAGTCTACAGTAACCTTAATGGAGACAACTGCATGCTTTTTGAAAGCACTGAACTTGAAAACTTACACATCAGTTTTCTCTGTATAAACTCTGTCAAAGAGTGACTCAGGAGCCATCCATTTTACAGGAAGCAAACCTTGCGCTTTCTCCACATAAAGATCATTTTTGTAAATTTCTCTGGCCAAACCAAAGTCAGCTATCTTCATGACATAATCGTCACTGACTAAAATGTTCCTTGCAGCTAAGTTTCTATGAACACACTGAAGAGGAAGATGCGCAGTTTATGTCAGTACAAATTCAATAATCAAATTCTCCTAACTGGTGACGGTCCTAGTCTTTATGTATTGTGTGGAGACTGATTGCATAAATCTTTTTAGGCTCAGGGGAGTAAAACTAGTACGTAACTTACAGTGCTGTAACTATTGAGTATCCAGTTGAAATCCAGAGTGAGTAAATTTCGACATGAAAACTCCTTTTAAAAGAGCAAAACTTTCTCTCGAGACAAAACCAGGGCTACCCGAAAACTGAGAGCAAGGAGAGATAGCAAATTAGAAGGTCAAAAAGGAAATCACGATGTACACAGGATCAACTTCTTCTACCTCATCCTCAAAACTTGCTATATGTAAGTCATATTATACTGTCCAGTTTTACTCCGAGCTACCACTAGGGAGCTTAAGCAAATCACGACGACGACGGCAATGGGAACGTCACCAAACAAAAGGTTTAATGAGCAAAACAATGGCTGTGCACGTGCGTTATAAACCTTTGAACATTTCTTTGCCGTCCTCTGGAAAACAAGAACGTGAAATGACCAAGTTCTGCGTTGCCTGAGGAACGCGAGCGAAGACGGCTAATTTTCCGTTTTTCCACGTGGAATTGAATGCTGTCATTACATATTTAGCATGAGCATGTTTTTAGAGCCATTGGCGAACTGGACAGATCTAGACAGATGCGAATTTCGCTGATAGAATATAAATTCATTTTTTTAGCAGGCGTCGTCCTCGAGGTCGCCGTCCTCGTTGCTTAAGCTCCCTACTACTGCGAAACAAGGCTCACAATGCCCCTTTGAATATCGTTTTTTCCATTTCATATTCAGTCGCAAAGGAAGCTAATCTGAGAGGAAGATAAATCTTTCACGTTTCACGCGCCTTGTCCTGTTTTGGATCCGCTGAGAGATTTGAAAACCAACGGAACAATGTAATTTACATTAATGTTGTCAAGAATCTTAACAAGCGACTTGAAACTTGTTACTTACCTTCTTGGATGCCAGCCGGAATGCCATGCCTCGGCTGACTGATAACCGATCATCACCAGATCAACTTAAGTGAACTCTTTCTCTGGATCATTGGTTGTCTTGATCCAATCGGGTTCGTAAATGTCCCTCTTTGTTCGAAGAAAAGATAGCAAGCTGCCATGAGGGGCAAATTCCATGATCACCATCAGTCGCTTTCCCCGCGTGCAGGCTCCCAGCAGATTGATGATGTTCTTGTGCTGACCAAGGTGGATCAGAATCTTTAGTTCTGAGGCCAAGTCCTTGCACTCCGCTTCAGTAGCACCCTCTGAAAAGGAAAAGGAAGCTCAGAAGATTAGGAGAGAAAGTAACTGACGAGAGAAAAGTGCTACCTGTGTCAAATCGTTCAGAAAAGATCCGTTTGCAACAGGCCCCGTCCACACTAAGCCGGAGAATGTTGAAAACGGAGGTTTCACTCTGAAAACGCATCAAATGTTTTGCGTTCATATTACGCCGGAGTAATTTGAAACGCATTAATCACCGGTCATTTTGGATTTGTGTGTAAACCTCGGGCAGGGAAATAACATGACCATCGCACATTATGGTCTTCGAAAAGCTTCGCTTCAAAATGTTTTCTGTCCGCGCTAAAACGCAAAGCCGGCGTTTTCAAATTCCTTCGGTTTGAAGGGCGTTTTCAAAAAGCTCCGTTTTCGTGACGGATTAGTGTGGACGGTAGGCCTAACCAGAGAAATAAAGCTCCAGTTTCAAATTCCTCTGGCATTGTGTGGACGGGGCCTCAGTAGTCCCTCTTTCGCTTAGTCCGTCGTGCGTGACGCGAAAGAAAACCGCGAGAAAAAAATAACCGCGCGAAATCCTGGAGGCTAGGATTTCGCGCGGCCATTTTTTTCTCGCGGTTTTTTTTTCGCGTCTCGCACGACGGACTAAGCGAAAGAGGGACTACTCGTAGTCTAAAGTAGTCGTTGTAGAATACTCTAGGTTGATGAAAAAAAAAGCTGCATGTACTTGGCTTTAATGAACTTCCCTTTGTACGTTGATGTTGGTAATCCTCCAATACGATAAGTTGCAGAAGAAGTATTATGATAAGTTGCACTCTCCACGCAGGAACTTAATTCATTAGGCATTCAATTTTGCAATAAATCGATGTTAAAAATGGCTTGCATATTAAAAAGATCCGCTGTTGCGTGCGTTCAACTGCCTATACTTTACAAATATCCTTCATTTCAGGCTCAACTTGTAGTTTAATTAACAATCATTATTCTTTCAAAGCCGTTTACTGAAGACACTGTCAGAACTTCAGGAAATCTGAAATGCGATTTTTGTCAACCCAACTTGGCCAGTTTGGGCCCTTTCTTCTCTTATTCTGACCTTTTCAACAAACGTTCGTATTCGAATTTACCGCTTCTTCGGTTGTGTATCATTAATGATGTCCAGGCATTCTGTTCGGTGAAGCCATCCATCATCACTTGATTCTTGAACTTATAACTGAGCTACATGTTTAACAAGGAACCTTAAAATCCCAAACGCTGACCGTCACCTTTCAAGGTTTTCA